TAGTCATGTACCCCAACATTTTGACATTTAATATTCTTGAGACCTGGACAGTTTGGCTCAGCGGTTAGGGCATCAGCCCGCAGACCAAAAGTTGTGGGTTAGATTCCAGTCAAGGGCACGTATGTCCCTGGTCCGGGTCCTGCGGGAGGCAACCAATCGATGTGCTTCTCTCACGCTGATGTTTCTCTGTGTCTGTGTCTCTGTCCCTCTCTCTCTCTCCCCCTCCCTCCCTCACACTTTATCTGAAGATAAATGGAACAATAACCTCAGGTGAGGATTAAAAAACAAAACAAAACATTGTTGAAATACATTTTTGACTTTATTTCTAGTCAGAGATTTACATTTTTTAAAAATTTGATTTGTTGACACATGTACACATAATTTTCTATCATGATTTCTTCCCTAAAGGACATGTTATCAAAAGAGAAATACTGATAAGTCAATATAAATAAAGTTAAGTGAAATTTTGCTACAATAGTAGCACTTACACATGTATAACTCATTTTTGAGCCCTTTACACACATCATCTTTTAATTCATCTTATTTTATTTATTGATTTTACCATCACCAGCTAACAGTTGTAAATATTATTACAATTGGTTGCTAGAAATAAGCTCCTTAAAGATGACATCGAGAAAACTATATTATCCTTTTCGTCTTTGCCTTCCCGAATTAATCTTGTGCTAATTCAGTACATAATATTTTCTAAAATATACAACATTCGCTACATATTTACTGAAGTGTCGCTTTACAGCTGATCGTAGAACATTGGAAATCCTTATGATTATTCATTGGTAACTCACCCAACTATGATGATTCTTGTGTCAGGGCAGAATTTAGAAAAAGGAGAAATGTTGCTAAACAGTGTTTCAATTTTCCAGGAATTTTGGTGCATATCTGTTTGTATGAAGTTTACTGCCTCAAACTTTCTGATCTCCATTCACATTTCAGTGTAAAAATAGATTGAAAAGTGATAAAAACAATTCTATCAGCCTACCTTTTCGTTGGCTTTGTTATAGCCAATGATCCTCTGCTCCTCAGATGAGGCCAAGCATTACAGTCCCTAATATGTATATTTAAGCAGTATTTCCATAATCATTACCCCTCCATTGAACCTTGTTAATCATTTAAAGTTATGAATATCAAATATTTAGCTCCAAAGTCAAACTGATGTGTCTCATTGAATTTCCTATAATATTAAAAATAATTATGATACTCTAATTTCTCCTATTAGCCATATTTTTAAACTTCTTTTAAAATATTTAGCTCTTATATTATGGATTCTGTCTGGAAGGACTAGACATATTCTGTGATGCCTGAAATACTAAGCCAAAATTCAGCTGTTGCTGAAAAATGACGAAAACGCCCCTTTTTGTTTTAAATAAGTTATAATTGCCTCCAGCATACAAATAATGTGAATTTGAGAAATGGGAGATATTTGTGCATCTAAAAGCCCCTTTGGAAAGATTGACAGGATTAAATATCCCTTTTCAGCATATGTAGTGTGACATTTCCATTTTGTTCCAAGTTATTTTACTTTCTGTGTGACTCTGGAGTTTGTAAACATGCCCTAAAATTTGGTAATTACATAATGATGATTTCATGGTTCCAGCCTCATATAAGGGTAGCTAGACATAGCAGCAAAATTGATTTTCTTTTTTACCTTTGTGGAAGGAAACAAAAGGAAATTGAATGCAAAATCTGCATTAAGACCATACTAGAATTATAACTCAGCAATCTGTTACACATGAAGCGAAAACCAGGTGCTCATTACTGTATGTTGCTATTTAGCCAACAGGTGAAGTTCAGCCTTCTGTTGAACCCACGCTTTGTTTTGTTACCCGAAACGTTCCAAATGCATGACTTGACACTATCTCATGTTGTCTTCTCTTGCCAAAGGTACTGAAAGGCAGGACTGTCTCTAGGCAAAATCATGAAGTGGGTGAAACTTGTTTTTATTTCCTACCTTTTTGCACTGACAGTCTCACTGTAGAGTATTTCTACCTCCCTGTCCCCCAGTGCCTACTCCCGTTGGCTCATTGCTCTGGACTTACCCTGTTTTCCTGGAGGCTCATAGTGTTTCTGGTTGTCCAGTCCTTCTTCGGTTGTGTAATTTTCTTGCTCAAAACGTGTCCAGTGGCTCCCCCAGAGGAGCCAGGCCATCAGATGCTCCCTCCTTTTCTTTGGAGTCTTACTTCCGACGGCTCCCCTCCAAAGTTCTGCTGCAGGTGGGTCATCACCTCGCCCTTTTTATTTACATATTTTGCCCGTGCTATTCCTTTAGCCTGCGTAGGTCTTCACACTCATCTCCATCTATGAAAGTCCTAGTCACCTTCAAGGCTCCACTCAGCTGCTCCTCCTCCAGGTAGCTTCCCTAATCAGCCCCGGCCTCTGTCCTCAGCACCTTGTTCGTACCGCTCACATGGCACGTGCCTTATGTAGCTCTGTGTCTCCATATTTATGTATGTGTGTTGTCTCCAGGCACTGTGCTGGGCGTTCTACAATTGTAATCTCATTTAAACTTCACAACGATCTGATGAGGCAGGTATGAACTCTACCAGTTAACAGTTAAGGAAACTGAGGCTCAAATAGGTGAAATCATTTGCCCAAGGCCACACTGCTAGAAAGTAACAGAGCTAAGACCTAAACCCAGGTCCAAAGCATTTGTTCTCTCCACTAAACCATGTTGCCATTTTTCATTTCTTTTCCATCTTCTGAAAGATGCAGGGGCTTTAAGACAGAGGAAAGAGGCCCCCTTAGCCTTTCTGATCATCAGATATGTGTTCAACAAATAGGCAGAGTTTATTGGTAATTACTTAATTCCTAGGTTGAATTGATTGGTTAAGTATAATCCATGAGTAATTCAAGTAAAATATGAGAGAAAATGAAAAAAAAAATCTTATCTAGAGTTGCCAGAGCAAATACAGCATAAGAAGAGAATGTTCAAGAAAGTGTATAAAGTTATACACAAAGTCCAGCTGGTGTGGCTCAGTGGTTGAGCATCATCCCATGCACTGAGAGGTCTCTGGTTTGATTCCCAGTCAAGATACATCCCCAAGTTGTGGGCCGAATTCCCAGTGTGGGACATGCAGGAAGCAACCAACCGATGTTCTCTCTCATCGATATTTCTATCTCTTTCTCCTTCTCTCTTCCTCTCTCTCTGAAATCAATAAAGGAAAAAAAGATGTAGATTTTTAAAACAGTGTATAATTCAAGAAAGGCTAGATAGCATTGGTCTTTGAGCAGTATCAGGAACCAAGTAAAAGGAAAGAAGAAAATGTGGAGTTGACCAGGAAACCTATTATCAGTGGCCTATTTCTTTAACATGAGTGAGATGCAGTGATCATTAAACGTGTTCTCAGCACACCTTTATCAACTTCTGACCATCACTTACCTTTGTTTGCAGACTCTGTTTCAATTTATATATGTTCTTTGTATGCTAATCCCATTCATATTTCGCTCTACAGTTTTGTTCCTCATACCAATCTCAGCAATAATTTAAAATGTATTATTTAGAGAAGACAATGCATATAGTCTAAGCTTCAACGTAGCAGGCCAGACTGGACGTCAGGCCCTGCCCTAGGAAGCCCGAGGAATTCAACAAGCCAAACAGGAAACCACCTTCAACCACGCTGGACAAAACACCAACACAAAAGCTCTTTCTCAGTTTTCTTTAAAGTTGTAATGATTTTTCTTATTCTTTACAAGAGTCCTCAAAGCTGATTTACTTTTGTGACTTACTTTTAATTTTGAAACAGTGACAGATTCACAGAAATTACAAAAGAAATGAGAAGGGAGGGCTTGTACACCCCGTGCCCCAGTGGTTACATCTCATGTAATTACAGGGCACTGACAAAGCGAGGAAATTGTCATTGGTCTAATTCACTTTTACATTTCAAAAAAAAAAACACCAAAAAACAACAATGCACCAGAAAGACAACCTAGTCAGTTTTAAATTTCATTCTACATTCTCTTTCTGCTCACAAGTGATAACCAGGCTGACAGCCCTGGAACACAAAGGGTGGTCTGTCCAGATGACCACAGAGAAAGTCCCCCCATGTTGTTAGTGATGATCCTCAGATCTCATTCAGTACCTAGGTCAAGGTATTGGGGTCAAGAGCTGCGGAAGGGAGCCCACATCTGAAGACTTTGGGTGGAATCAGGTTCTGTCTCCAAACGTGTGACCTTGAGCAAGTCATTTGACCTCTGCAGGCTTCATGTCTTCATCTGTAAAACGGAGAATATATTTTCCTGCTGACTTCATACAGGTGTTGTGAGGAAGGGATGAGGTAGGCTGTGCCTCAGCAATCATGGAAGTTTATGTTCTTTTCTCAAACTACTGCCAATTACAGAAGTGTAGTGTTTCAGGGGTAGTGCTCTCTTTAGAAACAGAATAAAACCACCTCCTTATTAGCCACAAGGCCTAGAATTTCCATCAAGTGTAAATGACCTAACTTTTCTACCACTTTTAGTAGGACACATACTAGCAATGGATTGGACAAGCTCTCTGTGACTCATTACCTACATGCCCCTGAGGCATGCGATCTATTTTAAAATAAATATTTCTTAACATTTTCTTCTAAAAGGTCGAATGCATTTTAAGAAGCTTTTATTTTTATCCTGACTGCAGGATTCAGTCTTACTTTTTTTTTTTTTTTAGTGCCATGAGATGTACAATAGGTGGTCTTGACAATAGTGAGAAATTATAAGGATACCAGATTAGACAGCAGATGGTTTATGAAGTAGAAATGGAAATCCTCTAAGCTGCATTGTTCCTTGGTTTGTCTGGATATATAATATAAACTCCCCAACTCACTGGTGGATCCTGTGTGTGGGTAGTAAAAATGCTTGTCTTGGCAGTAGCGGTGGAAAAATATATAGGAGAAAATAAACTTAAATCAAGGACAGTAAAGATAAAAGTCTTTGTGTGTAGTGAATGTTTGGACCACCACAATAAAAATGTTAAGATCTGTTTTCTCCCCTCCCCCTCCTGTATACAGGCTGGCATGGCTCTGACCTATGACCCCGCAGCTGCCATACAAAATGGGTAAGTAACCCACATTTTCTCTGTTCTAATTGCTAAGATGTCTTCGAGCTCCAAACTCAGTCCCAGAGAAAAATGTTCAGATCTGTCATTTGTTTGAGATCTCTAAACAAAAACTATAAACCAAACCATTTCTCAACATTGTATTTTTTTTTTGTCTTCCCATGAGTGATTCTGCCTTCAGAGCTTCTCCCACGTGACCCATTCTTAGTGCCTCTGCCCCTATTAAACTCTGTGTGTTGTCTCTGGAACTGTTTTTATTTATTACAGACCTACAGGGAAACGAGTGAAGTTTCAGCTCCCAGTCTGAGCAGCTAAAGTGAACTCTGGGTGGTGCCATGCCTGAGAGTGAACATGTCTCCCTTCTCCTGTAGGTGACCCTCTCTGTACCACATTGACACAGATGGACTATGTCTCTTTACCTTAAATCACCTGCTATGTGACATGCCTCTATCTGTTTCTTACATTAACAGTTTAACATTGGGTTCTTTGAACTATTTCAACAGTTGCAAAAATGTTTCACTCTCTTCTGCTGCTTATTAGATATTTACAACAATGAATATTTCCCTCGTGAAATAAATTCTATTTAAGATGCTGAGGATGCCAATTGATTTTATGACCCTCTTGTACCTTCTTGTACACTGACCATTCCTTTCAGCCTACAGATATACTCAGGTCTCTCCTTTCTTTCTCTCTGTAAACAATTTCATTCTTCCATACATGCTGCCTTCCTGTATTCTTCTCTAAAGAATCCTATTAAAGTATGAATCTCAAATTTACAGGCATTTCCCTTGCTGAGGCCCCCAACGAGCTCCAAATCTGCCCTTTGTCACTGGGACATTTTAGTCCTTTTATTTGAAATCTTGCCTCATGTGGCACTCTTTAAAAACCACTTACACCATCTTGAAATTGTATCACTTGGATCACACAACTCCATCTTTTACGGATCCTCCTTCCTGCCCTCTCTTACTGCTCATTCGATGTCTCCTCATTCCACCTCTCCTGCCCACGTTTGCTCATCTTTCTCAGGGATTAGTCTTTTCTCACCATCTCCTCTCCGGAGATCTCATCCACCTCTCTTGCTCTTTGGAGCAGAAGACTCCAGGCCTGTTCTTCGAGTTCATAACCAGACACAGAGCACTGTCACGTGTCTGTGTAATAGCTTATTAGGTATTGCTACGGATACTCGTTATGTCCCAATTAGGTCATTACCCTTATTAACTCTTTTTAGTATAAACCATAAACCATACCAATGCAAATGAAAAACAAATATCAAGTTCGTCCTTCCTTCCTTCCTTCCTTCCTTCCCTCCCTCCCTCCCTCCCTCCCTCCCTCCTTCCTTCCTTCTTTCTTTCTTTCTTTCTTTCTTTCTTTCTTTCTTTCTTTCTTTCTTTCTTTCTTTCTTTCTTTCTTTCTTTCTTTTCACTCTAAAACCATTTAGGCTGGTGACTCCCATTCTCTGGTTTTTCTCCGACATTCTTTATGATCAAATTAATCATTAAGACTTATCCGATCTATCTTTTAACTGCATCTTCAGCACATAGCCCTCCCCCCGCTACTTGTGGAGTTCATTCATTCACCATTCTCTACCTGCACTAAGCTTTTACCCGCCTTTAGTGTAACTCTCCTCCAAACCATGTCCACATTGCTTTTCGAATAAATTTTTACAAGCAAAAGGTGATCTTAGAAATCATCCACCTGCCAGGTTTAAAGTAGTTGGTGGGTTTTACTAACGAAAGTGGCACAAGGAGAACTACACGGTTCGGTTCCGAAGCTACAGCGGACCGTCGGTGGGATTCAGAATACCTCACACAACCGTACATCTCTGTGTCTTGCTGTTCAGGAATTCTCTCTGCCTAGAGTTCAGGCATGCCAGGATTTCTCTCTCCCTTCCTCCTTACTTCCCTTCTTTTTCCCCTTCTTTATCTCTTTTTATACAGCTCTCATTTAAGGAACAACATCACAGCATACCACGCAGAGCTAGTCACACAATTAGTACAGTACGAGCAGTGGTGAAGAGTGCAGACTCCAGCCCAGTCAGCCCAAATATGCATCGAATTCCGTCATCCACCAGAGTGGGCAAGTCGTTTGTCTTCCTCCTCTGGGAAGTGGGGCCAATAGTAACAGTATGGCATTAGGGAGACCATTTCCCTGCCTGACATCAACCTGCTCTGTCTCTATTGTGACACCTTAATCCCATTCTCCTTATGTACAACCTCCAGTTTCACTCAAAGCATCCAAACTGCCCATGACTTGCTCATACCCTGGGTTAAGAATGAAGTTTCGGAAGCTGTAGACTATCCAAAGTGTTGTTGGTGACAAGAACGTAAAAATGTTATATAGTAATATTAAAAAAAAATTTGTAGCTAATTAATCTTATTCATTTCATACTTCATATAGATACATTTTGGAATATTTTGCTCTGCTTTGGTTATATGGTAACATTGAATAAAAGAGAACAATCATTTCTATGTAAGTAAGACATCAAAATAACCACAGATATATTCTCAGCATACTGTCCCTTGAGTTACCATTGGCACATGCCTTTTAGAGGTGTAGAATCTGATTTAGATAACTTAGCCTATTAAGGAATCTAGCACTAATGTCCAGAATAACGTATTTTATTCTCTATTCATATTGTTGTATTCAATCTAGCAGTCAAACCTACCATAGAGAGTAGTAACCAACAGAGACAGAAATATTTAGTACTCTAGGGAAGAAACTGGTCCTGTTTTACAGGGAACACATAGTATCCAAAGATACAGTTATAACTCACTCTTGCTCAGTTAATATTATTAAACACTGCTTTATGCTGACCCAGTTCAGTTCAACACACTTTTTTTCTTTTGAGTATCTATCTATTGCTCTATTTTAAATCATTTTGGTGTTGCAGATTTGAAAAAGAAAAATGTTCACATCATATCAGGGACCACGTACATGCAGACAATTCTAGTACAAGATACAATAGAAATGGTATTGAAATAGAAGCATGGAGTAATATGAGATTTGTATATTGGTTAACTTCTATGTGTATAAAATATTTTCTTTTTTTTTTATCCTCACCCAAGGACATTTTTCCATTTTTAGTTCAGAGAGAGCGGGAGGAAGAGAAAGGAAGAGAGAGAGAGAGAAACATCGATGTGAAAGGGACACATCGAGTGGCTGCCACCCGCACGACCAACCAGGGCCGGGGACAAACTGCAACCGAGGTACATGCCCTTAGTGGGAACCGAACCCGGGTCTCTCTGTACCGCAGGCCGACGCTCTAACCGCTGAGCCAAACCGGCCAGCGCTGTATAAAATATTTTTGAAAGAGTACTCAAGAAATGGTGAGAGCGGTTCTCTGGGGGAAAGCCAATGAAAACAGGAGTGATAGGGTCTTAATTTTCACTGTCTATGTTTGTATGTTCTTTTCCAAAAGAAAAAAAAAATTAAGGCCATAGGACCACAGAAGAGAGGCATTTGATGAGGGATCGGAAAGTGTCTTGATGGGACACTGGTAATGTCTTTTTCTCCTGTAGATTCCCACGTCATAGCTGAAGCACAAATTTGATGACCTCATGGCTACATATATTCTAAGCCATAGGCTGTTCTGAGTATCATAAGCAAATACGTAGCTGGGTTGTGCCTAGTAGCTACACAAAGTGTGTGAAGAGTTAAATATTCTGAATTCCATACCCTCCTCATTAATAAGCCACACGGGACTGAAGTAAATATTCCCACATTTAGCTTGATTTTGAGCTAATGAAGAGCATGCATTTGTGAATGTGGACCATGGTGAATCTGTGCTGTTTGTGTTCGGGCAGAAGAAAATGTCACTTTTGTCATCTGCTTGACTCTGTCCAAAATATCGCTTTTAAAGAGTCAGGCCAATGTCACTTCTGTCTACGGCTTTGAAGGTGAAGGTGAAGAAGTGTCTGGGTCACAGTGGAAAAATGAAAACCTTAGTATGTTTTACTGTAGGTGAGCTTATGAGAAGAAAGAAAAAGTGTCCCTTCGTTCAGAGTTATCAGTATAACTCTATCATTTGTTATTACTGTCACCCTATTGCTTTTTTGACAGTCCAATATGAAATTCCATCACTGTCAAATGTGAGGGTGGGAGGTAGGAAATTATCCATCCCTCTATTCAAAATAATCTCATCGTTCTTGTACCTTTTTACTGTGGCGCAGGACGCTGTGTAGAAGCCTCTTGGATTATTTTATTTGAATAAAATGCATTATTGGGAGAGATATGAAAAAGAATGTGTTCTATAGCATTAGTTTGCCGGCTGTTTCATACTCGATATGAAGTGCTACAGAAACCTTGTCTTATTACACTAGCAAAGAAATCTCATGTGAAGGGTACATTGGCGTTCCAATAAAAATGACCGATAACTTATTAATCTTATGCTATAGTGTTACCCTGAGGATGGTATTCACGGTTCTGACGGACAGTATTGCCTGTAGACAGAGAAGACAAGCCAGTGCTGTTTATTTCAGTGTGCAAATAGGATTTTGTGTGGTTTTTCTACTGTAAAAAACATTCTACCCTGGGGTTATTGATATATTCATGTTACTTTTATCGTCAGTGAAATAAGATTTCACCATATTAGTGCTGACCGCCAAATCCCCTGAAGGTGACTTTTCTGCAGGCAAAAGGATGTCCTATCAGTGACCCAGACTTGCATTTTCTGGACTTGTACAGGCCACTTGCTTTAAATGCCAGCAAACCAAGTAACTCTTTGCATTCCTTGAAGTATTACGCTTTTGAAAGGCCAGCTTAGAGTTCCAGACACAGACCATACTTAGGTCACTTCTTTTAGGCACTTTGACATTTGGTATTTTGTTCATGTGAACCTCCCTGGAAACAGTTCATACTCCTAAGGCAAAGTCTCTCAACCTCAAACTACTGACACTTTGGGTCAGATAAGTTTTCGTGTGGGAGCTGTCCTGTGCCTTGTAGGATATTTAGCAGCATTGCAGACCTCTGCATACCAGGCGCCAGTAACAGCCCCCTCCCAGGCCCCCGCCACCCGCAACCTAGTTGTGACAACCAAAAATTCTCTAGTTCCTGCCAAATGTCCCCTGGGGAGCAAAATCCCTTCTAATTTAGAACCGCTGGGCAAAGTATTAAAGGAATACTTGTCATACACATGATGTTATGTGAATTTTGGCAAAGGAATGTCTCGTAGGAGAGTCAACTCTTCCCAGGAAAATTGTTTCTTAAAGAATTTATCAGTTTTCTATACTAGTATTTGCAAAGCAAATGCATCTATAGTAAATGAAAACAGCATCAAGTCACATGTTTAGAATTACCTTAGTTTTGTCATTAGGGTGGCAGGTCCTGTCAATTTTCTCTTTCCTGCTCCCCAACAGCTATGCTTGAAGTACTCATTTGGATTTTTTTTTTTTAACATGCCGATTATGTGGAAGTCATTTTAAATCATGACAGATGCATGTCAGGGACTGAGAAAGAGTGAAGAGTTTGAGAAACTCATTCTGCAGTTTTCTCTGTGGAGCCTGGTGCTGTGCATTTTCTCCAGACACTGTCTCTGTGCCGTAGGTGCGGTCGCGGCCTCTCTTGCCGTTGTTTAAGCAAGTTCTTCTTGGGAATGCCTCTGGCTTATATCTGGACTCGGGAAGAGCTTCTGTCAGAATGCCAGAAGTAGGGAATCAAGACAGTGTGCTGAGCCCAGTTCTTCCCAGTATATTTTCCAGTCTACATGACTCTCCGACTTCAACAGCAGTATTGGGACTTGTTAGACAGTATGAAATACCATTCTTGTTTGATGGATAGGGTTAGAGCAGATAGAACAAAAATGCATCAGTTTACCCCCAAGGGTTCCCTGTGTTACTATCAGTTTCCTTGTCTGGCTTCTTTATGTTTCTGCCCTGTGTTTTCCCCATAGAATTTTCTGTAAACTCTGCCTGTCAATCCAATCCTTATTGCTTTCATTTTTAATACTCCAGTCGGTACATTTTACAAAATGCACCAGCCACGCTAAAATCCGACGTGCAGTGCTCTGTGTTGGTGTAAGAGGCTGAGACGGGGCTTTTAGCAGAAGTGAAGCACCACACAGTAAAGAAGAGCTGTTTGTGCAGTGGTCGTGGGTGCTTCTCATGTCATTATGAACCCCAAATACACCTTTCTGTTCACTGCCTCATAAGTAACATTTGTCAAAGAAAATACATAGAAGAGCTTTTCAAATGCAAACCATGATTTTTGCGAAAAGGACTGCTTTCCCTGGTTACTATTACCTTCGCACACTCAGAAAGTATGTGTTAGTGAAGCTTCCACTGAGCGTTTATAATTACGTGGTGCTGGACCATCTTCTCTGGGTTCTTTTCCTGTTTCCTACCAGCTCAGGGGCCCATCTTCAGTTCTCCCCCTGTCTTGGCACTGACCATCCTGTGCTTATTTCCGCAGCTGCTCTGTATCCATCCATTCAACCTTTAGCTACTGTGTATCCACTGTGTCTCAGTTGTTCTAGACAACAAAGCCAGTAGGTCCTCTATATTCTTGAAGCTGCCGGTTGAGAGGAGGAAATAGTCAATACATACATTGTATTAGTCAGCTCGGCTTCCATAACAAAATACCAATGATTGCATGGCTCTAAGCAACAGAAATTTATTTTCTCATAGTTCTGGAGGCGAGAGGTCCAAGATGGAGATGTGGCAGAGTCAGTCTCTGATGAGGATTCTATTCCTGGCTTGTAGACAGCTTCCTTCTCACTGTGTCCTCATCTGGCCGTTCCTCCATGAACGTGTGGAGAGAAAGAGCAAGCTGTCTAGTGTCTTTTCTTATAAGGACGCTAATCCTATTAGATCATTGAACTTTAATCGCTTCTTTAGAGTCTCCATCTCCAAGTTTAACCACAGTGGGAGTTAAGAGGTCAATATGAATTTCGGAGGGACACAAACATTCACTCCATGACCTAGATCCCCAAAGTTTGTCATTACTACTTCAGAGAGTGATAAGAGCAATGAAAAACTCAACTAGAGGAAAGAAGAGAGAACAGTTGGAACAGAGATGGTGATTACTACTTTGGCTATAGGCCTCCCTGAAGAAGTGAAAGTTGAGTTACACCAATAATGAGCGAGAGGTAGCCTTAGGGACATTTAGGGAAATGAACATTCTAGGTAGAGAGAATTGTAAGTTCAGTGATCCAAGAAGAGAGTGAGAATGGCAGGGTCATGTGACAAAGGAAAGGCTGTGGTTGGATCCTAATTGGCTAGGAGGGGAGGGGAGGAGAAGGTGTTGGAGAGGTAGGCAGTAGCTGGTCTGGTTGTGCTAGCCAGTCTCAGGAGTTCACATTTTGTCATTGCCGTGGAAAGCTACTGAGGGTTTTAGACTCATTCACCTACAGACAGGAGTCAATGTAAGAGGCTAAATAGAGAAACTCTAAGGAAAGTTTTAGAGTCTTCCCCCTTTTTGGTACACATAGTAACTGCTCAATACATTTTTTTTTTTCAAGTGGAAGGATGGGTGTTTTCTTACATAGTAATTGACTTCTTTTAAAAGTCAGGTTTATTAGATGTCATTTACATAGACTATAGATTTATTCTTTTTTTTATTTTTTTATTTTTTTATTTTTTTATCCTCACCCGAGGACATTTTTCCATTTTTTTGTTCAGGTAGACTGGGAGGGAGAGAGAGGAACACTGAGAGAGAGAGAAACATCGATGTGAAAGGAACACATCGAGTGGCTGCCACCCGCACAACCAACCAGGGCCGGGGACAAACTGCAACCGAGGTACATGCCCTTAGTGGTAACCGAACCCGGGTCTCTCAGGACCGCAGGCCGACGCTCTAACCGCTGAGCCAAACCGGCCAGGGCTAGATTTATTCTTTATAGTGTATAATTCTATGAGTTCTGTTAAACACATAGTGATTTAAGCACCCCAAATTCTCCAACCCTAGCCATTGGCATCCACGGATCTATTTTGTCTTTATAGTTTTGCATTTTCTATATTGTGATATAAGTGGAATTATAAAACATAGAGTCTTTTGCATCTTCTTTCCTTTACCATAATTCACTCAAGATTCATCATGTTAAATGTAGCAGTAGTTCTTTCCTTTTTATTGCTCAATAGTGGCCCATTGTACAGATGTACCAGTTTGTTTATTGCCTCAGTTCAAGGATATTTGGCTTGTTTCCAGTCTTTGGCAAGTATCAGTAAACCTGCTATAAATATTTCATTAAGGTTTTTGTGCAAACATATGTTTTCATTTATCTTTAGTTAATATCTACCAGTGGGATTTTGGTTTATATGTGATATGCATGTTTAACTTTATAGGAAACTTCCAACCTATTTTCCACAATGGCTGTACCATTTCCACCAGCAATGATTGGCAGTTCTACTTTCTCTGAGTTCTTGCCAGCACTAGTATTGTTGTTTTAAAAAAATGGCCATCCTAATAGCTGTGCAATCAATAGCTGTTTACAAACTGCACAGCTATAAATTTAGAGATCAGTGGGTATGAGTGGTAAGGATGTAATATGTAAGGGAGTAAGTTTTTAGCTATTTTTTAACTAAAATAATTTGATGTTATAATCCTTATTGAGAGCTAGATAAAGTAAATCTGAGACTATAGTTCCTCAGTACTTGCTTGGAGACTTTTACAGAATAGAAACTCAAAGAATTTACTCCTTAAATGGCAACGTTGAAATCTGGCCCTCCTATATTTGATGTGAGTCTGTGGAATACATCTTTAGAAAGGTAACCCATGAGACTCTCTATTCAAAGTATCGGTGACTCCTAAGGTCTAATGAAGCTTTTGTTCCCAAAGTTCAAACCTCAGTAATACAGTTTTTCAAATTAAAAGTAGTAGTTGACTTGCCAACATTACTTTACTTTATGGCAAAGTAAAATAATGATTTCATGATCCCTGATACACATTTTCCGATACATCTTCCCACCAGGGAAATGCTCCATTGTAGGCCACCTGGGTTTGTCTGTTCTTTGGCTGGCCACTCTAGCATTTCACTTACCAGTGAGACATGAAGGAAGAAACAGGATTTGAAATTTTGCTGAGGAATTTGAGCATTAGGTAACTCGTGGACTCTAAGGTATCATCTGAGCAAAGATGGGTATGTCACTGATTTCAGTGTCTAGAAGCTATTTTTTAACAGATCTCTGGACAGATAATCCTCCTTTGATTTGTGAAACCCAGATCTTGCTCAGCATCATTCTATAACTGTTCAATGAAGGGCCCCGAAGGACTAGGAAATTCAATGCTTTCTACAGGGTCTACAGAAATATATCACATATATCCAGGATCTCCACCGAGGTCTGAATCCAGAAATCCTCCTATCTCCACCTAGACACAAATTGTCCACTTCTTTTCTTGTCACGGAGAAAGTATTTAGCTTAGTTTTTTGCATGAGGGTATGGACTCTTGCCTAGCACAAGTTTCCCCAAACTCTCTTGGCGCTGATTCTCGTTCCTGAATTAAAAGAGAGATGCAATTTGTGTACGAGTAACATCAACCACCTTCATAGAACTTGGAGCTCTCATTTTGCCTTTCTTTCCAAAGAGCTTTAACATGGCAGGCATCACCTTTAAAAAAAAAAAACAAGACGAAACAGTGCCTGTGGCTCTTCTCCCCCTGTTGGTTTAACACAGTTACACTCATCAGGCCTAAGAGATTTTGTGTGGCCAGTTTGGTAAGAGGACTCCAAGTGGTCGTTTTTGTTCAGGACGGTTTACTTCTCTTGGTGGACTCCAATACCATAAGTCTCCCGGGTGCTCCTGTTGAAAGTGGTGGGCAGGCGTGAGGGTGGAGCTCTGTCTTTCCCAGAATGCTTGGTAGCATTTGCTGAGCAGCCAGGCATTCAGCAGCTTTATGAATCTTCTTTTTCTGTTGTTGTTTTCTGTTTGCAGATTTTATTCTTCACCGTACAGTATTGCAACCAACCGCATGATTCCACAGACATCTATCACGCCATTCATTGCTGCTTCCCCTGTCTCCACATACCAGGTATGTCCGATTTACCTGCACCTCAGGAGAGATCTTTCTTGCCAGGAATAGACTACCTAAAGGCAAAGGCACAGGAGAGTTTGTTTAAATTGTCCTTGAACACTTGACTCACATCCTGATGCGATAGTACTCAGGTTACCAATTAGCCTACACGTAAAGGGCTTGTCTGCATCTCCTTCACTGAGTAATAAAATCCACTGTGCTTCCCATTCTTCCTGCTGAGTTTTCATGATGATGCTACTTTCCAGCCAACTTAAGTACCGCTGTCTTACCACTGAGAAACGATTGTGTTTGTTGTCTGTTATTTTGGTTGTAACGCTTCCTATTGTGTCTTTTCTAAAAACACATGCCTAGCATCCCCTGCCCTTACTCCAGAATGTTTTATCATCATCATCTCATTTTATCACAGTTGTCTGTGTATCTGTGCAAAACTACATGGATAGATGTTAAATCATTTTCCCCAAGAAATAGAAAAGATCACCAAAGTGGCAAAAAAGTACTCCTTCTTTCTGTGCTTACTTTATTTTCGGATCCAAAAGAGACCTCAGGGGTTCCACATGTTGAAACACAAGAAAATCTGAGACTCAGTGTGTGTCCTAAACCAGATGTTATAGCCAGTTAACCCTGTGCACACAGGTGGATTGACATAGACCTACTTCTCCCTTAAAAATGACTTCTTATCTTATCTCTTTGAGTTATCAAATATGTGCTACCACTCCCTGCTTCTCTTTACCACATATTGTTCTTCAGATAGTCCTTCCAATTCTAAAAAAGAAATCGCTATCAATGTTACAGAGACAGAGTATCTAGTGTCATTTTTTTTAAAACTCGGGAGAAAGAGAAAGAGCGAGAGAGAATGCAAGCGCGTGCATGCCATGTGTTTCTCTATATTTTGCAGGTGGTGGGGGTGGGGGTTTCACAAGGGGTAACATTCTAATGTTGCTGACTGCTACTAATTCAGTTGTCACCTTATTCAGCCACTACATCCTTCATTTCAGGATGTCCCAGTTGTCAGAGCATCAAACTTAAGACTATGTACATTTTTCCTTAACTGATCCCCCCCGAAGCAGTTCATTTTCATTCATTTCCTGCACTTAGATTCTTGATACATGTCAGTGGGCGAACAGAATAGACTTTCGTGTGAATTGCATCCGAGGGTCTCCGAATGGCTGATTCCCTAATTGCCATTCCCTGGGACCCATGAGGCTCTGGGCAGGAGCTGTTCGCTTTTTGTTCTTCACGCAGGCCTGCCTGGTTGTAATATGTGTGTGGGTTGTTTTCTTTTCTTACCCATTTTTTTCCCTAATCTTGGCCTCTGTTTCAGCCAAGACCACCCATTGAGCCCCAGTGTGGAACACTTTAGTGACATGAATAAAATATCCACAGAAAAGTGATTTTACTTGGGAGGGCTCATAAGTGGAATTTAACCCCAGCTCTCTTTTCTCATAAAAGGAATTAGAGCAATTTCCTATGTTGTTGATTCTTGCCTTTCAACACGTCTTCCTTTAAAAAAAAAAAAAAAAAAAAATCTAAACAGCATTGGCAATTTTGTTTGTGTGAGTATATTGAAGACAAAATTCTCTGTGTGGCAATCAGCTCTTCAAGATGACGTCCTCATTTGGCTGCTGAGGATCATTTCAGAGCAGTTGGCTCAAGCACACATTTTTATTTACATACCAATTACCACGAGAGAGAGGAAAAATTACAAACTTGCTTAACTTGGGTTTATCCCAAAGCATTTCCCCCAACTTTTGGTTGATCTATTTAATTCTTATCCCAACTTCTACCACTTGGACTTATTTCCAAGATGAGAATTTGAAGTTAAAAGAAATGACAGAAAAAAAGAAGTCTTAGCAGTAAACTCTTGTTTCTTCATTAAATGCCTGGGTACCCCTGGGAGTTGACCACTCAACAGGAGGTCCCTGAGGCTACCTAATACATTGGTCTCCAACACCATCCTCGAAATATGCTCCAGGTCCCAGCCTGGTCCATGTGGGCACTGCAGCCAGCTCCAGAGAAGTAGGAATTTGGTTTACATTTTATCATGTTTCAGGGACCAAATTAATCAGGTCCACGGATGTGCTTTCTGTCCTCAGCTTTGAGCACTAATTAGATGTAAAGTCAGATGGACTCCACTTTTTATGACCTAGTGTGACTCCACTGAACACAAGAACCAAGTTCCCTCTGTGATTGCTTTGTGCTAATAAATGCTGTTTGATGCATAGGTCCAGAGCACTTCATGGATGCCTCATCCGCCATACGTTATGCAACCAACAGTAAGTGTTCTCAGTCACCTGAGGCTAAATATTTCTATTATGCAAGTGCAAGCTTTTGTAATGCGTAGAAGCTTTGGGGTAAAGCTTTTGTTATATTCCGTACCTCTTTCAGGCAGCCATATTTTCCAGATAAAAAGCTGTTCCTGAAACTCTACAAAAGCGTATACAATAGATACAGATAGAGATGGAGCTAGACAGAGATAGATAGATGATAGATAGATGATAGATAGATAGATAGATAGATAGATAGATAGATAGATAGATAGATAGATGATAGATAATAAACTTTCTTGGAGGAAATATCAGCCATAACAGTCTCACTAGTTAATGTCTACTGTTTGTTATGAATAGGGAATTTCTACTTCATGCAGAAACTCAGAGCTCTGAACAATTAGATCCATTATAGAAAGCAAGCCTTTCTGTTTTTCTCTCCTTCTGTTATGCTTTGTTTTCTTCACATGCAGTTTGGTGTGCTTTGGGAGTGAATTTTAGTATCATGGCCAAGTGTTGACTAAAAGCAATATATTTGAAATAGGAAGGTAGTTGTCTATTAATAGATAGAGATTTATAGATAGATAGCAAGGTTGCTAGATATATTTTATGTTAACTAACTAGGGCCTTTCACTTCTTTTTTTTGTGGAAAATATCTTCCAAAAATATTCAGGCTCTATTTTCTACTTGCTAGATTACCCATTTTGTGGAACAATATTACATCAGTCCCAAGTGAAAAATATTACATATTCCATTAGCATCTAGACTGAAGGCTAATGAGTTCATTTGTCTTTGTCTAGTTCTTCCAGGCTTTCTAGCTCTATAGAAGAACAAGATAGATTTCAATAGCAACACACTCACGAGAGTGTGAGGTAGGGGAGGAGCCCTAGACTGAAAGTTGTGTGACATGGTCTCCGGGGTAGTCTTCTGGGTATGTTCACGTCTGTGCCTTTGTTTCTTTATCTGTCGCTATACTTACCAAGGTTTGGGGGAGAATCAAATAAGAGCATATATGAAAATAATTTTTTAAGTGTGACATTATGATTACCATTATCTTTGTTATTATTGGACCTATGTGTTGTACAAAGAAAAAACGATGCTGCTTTTTTACTCTTTTAAAAGCTAAATATAAATAAGGTAGCACATATTAATGACCAGGAGGCTAAAGGCACGGGAATCCATTTCCTGGACTCAATGGATCACAGCACCTGGTTTTCATATTTGAACTTCCTCTATTTTTTTTTTTTTTAAACCAGGAACATTCCATGTTGCTCCTAATGTTTTGATAGTTTGTTTTTTATTTAAAGAATAAAATATATGTAAGCTTACTACAGCAAAACTTTAGAACGTATTTCACAAATTCCTCTCTTTGCTCTTATTTCCACACCTTAGGGGCTTCCTGAGTGCATCTGGTCTGTGTTCTGTAAATCATACCAATATACAGTGAATCCAAGATACACTTCTCTGTCCAAGTCATGAGGTAGAATTCAATATATGCTGCCAAACCAATGTATAGCACAGACTGAGCCAACGCAGGGAAAGAGATGATGTCCTGCCAAGTTCTAAAGAGTAGACTTTTTCAAAGGAAACAACTACCTTCTAAAAAAAATAATGTTCATCTACAGAGCACTAATGCTAGCTTAGTCCTAACACTGAGGTCAAGCATCATCTCACTATGGCCAAAAGGAATGCACATCTGGCAAAATCTGAATATTTTGCCAGATGTCAAAGTATGTACAACTTCACAGTATTTCTAGAGCTGTGAGGAGAAGAGAAGATGTTTGTATGTGTCTATTTCAACTATCACTCAGGATGTTAGCAAAATTCTTCGTTACCACCTCCTCACCCCAGCACAGCTTCAGCACCATTTGTTAATGCACTATTTCTCATATATCTTACTCCAGCAATACGTGTGTGTGTGCGTGCTTGCATGTATGTGTGTGTGTGCATTTGTTTTCCTTATGGATGTTTCTTGCTGTTGCTCAGTGACATCTTATCACTCTCCATGACCAGACTGTGCATCACGTTTGCATTGAGGCCCCTTGGTTTCAAATGTGGCTGGAGCAGATTCCTAGGGAAAGGAGTAGCTGGGCCACCCACCACTTTGTTGTCTTTTACATAGAAACATTGGCTGCACAGTGTCATGGAAACACAGAGTTTATACTACAATCTTGCCCTGCAACAGTCTTGCTGGTTTTCTAGATTGCTTAAATACCCCAACTGGTCTTAGTTTTATCATCAAAGTGAAGATTAAATTAACCACTCTATGATACCTAAATACAAAATAACTTAAGCAATCTAAGGCCAAGAAACAAAACACCTGAATCTGAAAAAAATGAATGACTTCATGATGAATAGCAGGGAGTCTTGGTTAGACTCTTTGATATATATTTTTCTAAATATGTTTTTATTGATTTTTTTAGAGAGAGAGGAAGGGGGGGAGAGAGAGAGAGAGAGAGAGAAACATCAATGTGAGAGAGAAACATTGATCAACTGCCTCCTGCACACCCCCTGCTGGGGATCACGCCTACAACCCAGGCATATGCCCTCAGTGGGATGGAACTGGGCCCTCTCAGTCCATGGGACAACGCACAGTCCACTGAGCCACACCGGCCAGGAAGCTCTTTGAGATTATAAAACACCTTTTCCTAACTATGGGACTTTGGGCAATTAAACTCATGAAGCCACCTTTCCACCCTCTGTTATACATTGACATAATAATACCTAAATGACTGGTCATTTTGTTCATTACATAAAATAAGATATTAAAGCTCTTAAAATAGTGCCTGGCAAATAGCAAACACTTAGTAAATTAGTATTATTATTTGTTTATCTGAGTAGACCGTACATTATGCCTTAGATTAGCCTAACGATATAACATGCATGTTAGTATGGAAAAAAAATTGAAGATGAGCAATGGTCACCTGTTTCTACCACATTCATACTACTCCCTTAACTTACTTTACTAATGAGTTTGGTGGGGATAGCCTCTGAGGCTCTAAATAAGACAAATTGCTTAGATTGTTACTTCATTAACTTAATAAACCATTCAACGCCTAACACTTAAAAAAAAAATAGGCCCATTGGGTTCCTCTTGGAATCTACTTTACAAATAAATTCAAGGTGTCAGTATCAACATAGCTCAAATGTGTTGCCCTAATTCAGATTCTCTTCCTGCTTGTCTCCTCTCTTGTGTTTTGTCTTCTACCATTCTGAGAAAATCTCATTTATAAGCTCTCTGTATTACAGGCATATTTTCCCACCATCGCTTTGAATGGTCTTGACTTCCGCTCTGGGAGCCTTGCAGGTTCTCGTTTAGTCTTTTTTTGTTTTTTGTTTTTTTGGTACATGCCCCTAGTGGGAACCGAACCCGGGATTCTCTGGTCCACAGGCCAATGCTCCAACTGCTGAGCCAAACCCGCCAGGGCTCTCGCTTAGTCTTGACTCAAAGGATTCTCAGACCTTCCCCAGGTTTCGGATGAGAAAACTGCTCCTGGAACACGTCTTAGAGCAGAGCATCTGGTCCTCACCAGGGTGGAAAAGGGTTAAACTGGAGTAGCAACATCTGTAAGAGAGAAACAAAATGATGCCGAGAAGGTAAGGGAGTAGTCAGGGGAGAGAACAGAAAGCGCGGCCCAGCCCCTTTCCATTTAGGAAGCTTGCCATTCAAGTCTGCTTTTTGGGGGACTGAGTTTTCTCAGTTGCGTGTAATGTGCATTTAGAAGTAAGATTCCGAGGGGCTTGTTTCCTTTTAGGAAAGAAGAGATCAAAGTCTCCCTGCCTGTGTTAGAACTATCACCCTGGTGTTTGTGTGAGAAAACAGTTCTCGGCAGTTGTTAGGCTCTGGGACTTGATCGAGTCCCCGGGAACATTTTCAGACCCACTTAGGGCAACAAGAGTGTTTCTGTGTGCACTTTGCTGCTTTTCCCCTGAACAGACACTGGGAGAGCTCTGTTGGACGAAATGAGGAGGGAGGCAAAATGCTGACTGTGTCGACGCCATCGGCTATCTGTCCCTGCGTCCCAGCACAGGGTTCTGTGCTGTACTCTGACGCTGACAGAATTTTACTAGATGATGGATTGCACCACATATCTGCTCCGCGGAGCTGCCTGTCACGTTGCGATCTCCTATGAATTCGCAATTGAAATTCCTGTGTTGCAGTCCGTCGGATATTTGGTTAAATCTGTGCTGACAAGGAGGAAAGATGGTAGTTCCCAAGAAGAAGCACAGTTCCATTCTTTTAAATTTTATTTAGGCTCATTTGAGTCATAAATCTTCTGTTCTTCATACGGTTAGCAGTATTTCATCTCAAGGAGAAAGGTCAGCTTTCATTTTTACTTAATTACAAATTGGTTATCTAATTACGGCGTTCTGAGAAATGCTGGGTGCCCTGATTGAATCACTGGATGATTTGTTGCTGTGCATGGCTAAATAATGACTTTTAATAAACCATAAGTTTACAGCTAAAGAGTAAATATAAACTTCTCTACAAAAAGGCTCTTGGAGAAAGCTCCAGAATACGTGATTTGGCCATTCTTTACCTGCAAACTGGTAAGGCCTGAGGCTTAATTTTAGAGGTTTTATCCCCAGATTTGCAGGGGTGTTTTCTGTAAAAAGCACACCACCAAATTTGGAAAAAATATTTAAATCATTAGAATTCTGTTCAGAGAGCAAGGTTTTCAGATACTGCCCTTTTACACCAACGCCTGAGCTAAGCAAAAATCCTCACCCTCAAAGTTTCATTATCAAAGTCAGTGATTTTCCTATCTAAGGAGTTAACCAGATAACTAAATATCTCAAGGCCAAATCTTGTTGTTGTTGTTTTTAACTACATAGCAAAAACAAACAGTAGCAAGTCTAACCCATATGTACCGTTTCTAGCAGAAGAGAATTCAAATGAGCAAGAATAAACTTAGGAGGAGCAGCTGCTTTTGAGTATCACCTCTTTTTAAGGTGGGATACAGTGAACTTGAACAAATCATTTCCACGGAAAAGTCTCAGACGTCTTC